ATCATACCCAGCTCCTGAGCAGGTTATTCAGTAGCCTCCTTTGGTGAGTTGCACATCCCATTGCCCCAAGCTCTTGAGGGAGCTGTCCCACCCAGCAAGGACCTCTCACCTGGCCCATCAGGCTCACAGCTGGAGGTGTCCTTCAGCATCTCTGAGGGTTTCTGCCCGAGTGTCCCCAGCTCACATTTATCCTTGCTGGTCCTGCACTTAGATCCAGTTGACATTTATTTGGCAGTAATACCAAGGGTTTTACTGCCCAAAGTGTGTAGGAAGAGAAAATGTGTTCTCTTACACCAAGCTTTTAGGAACCTGAATCTTTCTTTGTGTCTGAAACGGAAGCAGCAGACTTCAAAGCTAAATGTAAGAAGAGAACAGCAGCAGCTCAGTGATTGTGAGGTTCATAGCAATAGTGCTGAAAACGTGTCAAGTTGCCTATTTCCTTTCTAGATCAAGCTCAGGATAGGCCTGTGTGTTTTACTGTGTTCAGCATGACTTTAAGAAATGTGATTTGCCCCATTGCAACATCCCTTACTTCTCTAATTTCAGATTTCAGCTTCTTACATTGCATTTTCATTCGAGACAACTTTTAATTGAGCTGAATGATCTCTGAGAACACCAAAATGTCCCTCATTGCTCCGAATGGGTCCTAGACTGAGTTTGCATTTCATACACAAAACCAACTCTTCTTTTGCTCTTGGGCTCACACAGCAAATAAAAAACTAAACCAAGCAGAACCAAACAAAAGAATTCTGAGAAGCTCATCAGCAGTATTTGCTTTGTACAGAACAGTAATTTTTCCCTAGCACATACTTCCAAGAATTTTTTAAAATGTCATTCATACATCATCTGCCCCAACAGACAATAGTTGTTCCAGAGAAGCTGTTGCTCTCTATTAGGTCAATGATCAGTGAACTAAACATTTTCTACTTAGGCCCTCATATGATAAAAGCCTAAGAGCTTTGAAGGAGCCATTACAGACTATTGCCTAGAAGAAATATCCATTTGAAAATTCAGCAATTATGTACTTCTATAATAGCGTGTAAAAGGAGCTCTGGACCCATTATGGGTTATTGAGTAAATAATGTATTTTTAAAAGTGTCTAAGTAATTTATATGATAGCCTGTATTGGCAGCAAAGAGTGATTGTAGACTAAACATTCTGTCTTTCTCTCTTTTAAAAAAATCTCATTTAAATCCCTAAATAGCAATTAAAGAAAGAAATCCCTGATGCAGTTTCAGTATTTCTATAGTAGTCAATAGCTAATGGCTCTGACTTTGCTGCACTGAGGCTGCCATTTTGTGCTGAGACAGTTTTCTCTGGTCTGACTTTCTTTTTTTTGTCTTGATTGGATAAGACAGGAGGCTTCATTATCAAATATGATATAGAAGTGTCCAGAGGCCTCCTGGAAGTCAGACTCACAGTCATCAGACCTACTCCTAATCAGGAACAGCCACTAGTCAGAAGAGCCACCAGCCCAGAGAGAGAAGACAGGAAGTTGTCAGTCCCTATTTTGGAGAAGAAATGAGTCTTGGAGAGAGGAAATACGTTGTTTGAGATGCAGGGAACAAAGAACCTCTTCCTCCCAAGCCCAAGTTTAGTTTCCCTGCTTTATGTGTGGACTTTCCATGGAGAGGCACAGCCTGAGCTTCTCGTTGCTGTGCATCTTGAGTGCTAATGCAAACTGCTGCTCTGTCAGGTGACCTCAATAGTCTTGCTTCATACCACTGCATTCAGCCCTCTCAGGCACAGATCCTGCTCAAAGCAGATAGGAAAACACTGCAGTTCAAAAAAATTTACATTGTAGCAACAATGAACTATGAAACATTCAAGAAAACAAACTTGTTTTCCTCTTGTAAGCATGGAGCAAGTTTCCATAGTCCTCCCATTTATTTACCATACTGCTTCCTTCCACAGCAGGAACATAGCATAATCACCTCGTTAATAAATTTCTGTCAAAATTTGAAAGAATAAGTTGAAACAGTTTGGGGTTTTTTTAAGAAACACTGGTGCTTGAGCTGCTCTGAATTTTGGACATTATCTTGGGATCTCCAAATATCTGTCAGACCAAGCAGCCTTCAGTGCCCCAGGGACAGTACTGGACTTTTGTACTACCTGTACCTTCAATATTGCAAGGGGCCTGACTTGAGGCAACAAAAGTAAAACAATTTTCTGCCAATGGTGATGCTCCATCTCAACTCTTTTTGATGGTATTTTATCTGGCATAAACTTGATACGAAGTCTCTTTGGTGCTCTGGAACCTGCAGTCCAGCCCTGTGTTGTAACTCCTTTTGTGTATGAAACAGCTGACCAGCCATCAGGAAGCAAGCATCCATGTCTGCCAGGAGTTCTGATTTCCCTCTTCAGAGGCTGTGTAATGCCTGCTCCTTCATATGTGTGTTCAGAGCACATTGTGCACTTCCCAAAGCTAGCTACGCTCTTCAGTCATATCTCAAGAACATCACCTTTAGACCTGAATTCAACAACACCTGTTTAATTCCTCACTGTCTAAGGAAAGTGGCTCTGATGCAATGAATAAAAGTGCAGTGCTTTAGCTGCCTTCTGGGAGATGTCAAGGGATAGGTCTGTAGCAAGCCTGCTGGCATGTGAGAATTTGTTTTTCCTGGGTTTGGAAAGACACAAAGAGGAAAAGAAATGCAAGGGTAACGAGCATGTCGTTCAGAAGACAAAAAAGAAAGGGAGTGACTTAATGTAGAAATGGTAAGGTAGTATGGAGAAAGTCCACCTTGTAAAGTAAAAATGTAAAGGAAAAATGTAAGTAAAGAATGGTAAAGGACTGATAACAGAAAGAGAAATAAATGAAGAAACAAAGTGAAAGGCATAAATACATGTAAGTTGAATTTGAGCAAAACATGTAATGCCTAAAAACGCCATCGGTCTCTCTCACAGTTAGACTGTATTTGTCACTTAGGAGAGTTATGTGTTGGGATAATTGACTGGAGTGATGATGAAGTACCTATCACTGGAGCATTTCTGTGACAGAGTAGTCAAAAATCTGGGAAATGCTGCTAGCTATTGGATGAACCCTTCCAGTTCTATCTTCTATGATCTCAGCATCCCATAATGCATGAGTGGGAGAAGTACCTCAGTTGTGTGGTCATGGAAAACCTGTTTCTGACCTGGTCATCTCCTCACCAAAATTTTCCATAATCTCAAAGAGTAAACAAGGCACACATTTGGAAATTAAGTCTATGAGGAAAATTAATATAGAGGGGGAAAAAGAGAAAAAGAGAAAAGAAATCTGCAGACAACATTTTCTTCTGACCCATGGACCCAATACCACAAAACTTGCAATCTCCTCCTCATACTGAACAGCCCCATTCTGCAACAAATACCTAGTTTGGCTTAGATACAAACCCAAAGGCCTTACAATTTGAGTTAAAAGAGCTTAGGGTCTTTCTTTCAAGAACAGAGTTATTAATTGATCTACTGTGCTTCAACTCTAAATAATTCTGTTCTCCCATTCAAGGAAAATTCCTTCTTATTTCAACCAAAATCACACTTATGAAGTGATCTGGGATTATTCTAGACTGGTGATTATTTCTGTGCAAGCCACCAGTTACCATCACTCTATAAAACAGAGTGCAAAACAGGCTTTTAAAAGTAAAGTCTGGAGAGGCATCAGATTGAGATGAAACAAACTTTCATTCTCCCATCATGTGGAGTTTCTCAGGGCTTGCCAACAGGACCTAGCAAAGCCAAGTATGCTAATGTCAGTAGTTTTCCCTTGCAGACAGGAGACTTGGATTGCTCCAGTACATATACACATATACAGTATAAGGAGGCACAGGACTTTTGAAGTGACCACTTCTTCCCCACACAAATCTGCTCTGTGTTCTTTTTTTCACACTCTGGGCCACTGAATACAATGCTGGTAATTGGAGGAAACTGTTTGTTTTTTTTTTTTTGCTTTTTTTCTCCTGACAGTACTTTAGAGACATTAGATTCATTATTTGAGGGTGTGTATGAGATTCTGGAAGTAGAATTTATGTCTGCTATGCTGTGAGATCTTTGGTATGATATTGACTCACTCATTGGCACCTGAGAGAGGCTTGGGGAATTCAGCAAGTTTTCAACAATCCAGTTTGAAAGATTAAACAGAGTTATAGCTCACTCAGGTTTGTCCTAATTTTATTAGATTTTTAGCATTTCTAATTGCATAAACATATGCAGCCAAGTATGCAGGTGGGGACTGGGATGATGTACAAGGACACTCAGGCTCCATAGGCAGCTAATTGGTGGACTAAGCAATAGGGCACTTGGAAAGACTGGTGTTTTTTCAGAACATTCTAGGAGAAAATCCTGTCCCCACTTAAAATGAGGTAATCAAGAGAGGAAAGATTTTAGCTATAGATTCTGTTGGAACCAGAGAAAGAGATGAGAGGAACTGATGCAGAAAGTATCCAGGATGAAGGTGGTTGTTGTGGGCAAGATTCATTACTTATTTGTCTTGGACACAGGAAAAAAGATATGATGTCTCAAGACCATAGCCTAGCTCGCCTGATAAATATGATGATAGCAGAAGGTTTTTGATCAGGGCTAAACACAAGACAAGCAATGGTTAACAATTTCAGATAATAGTAGGTCAAATAAGAAGTAATTTTGTGTGAACATTATTATTATTAGCAAATGCTAAGCTGTAATGTTTTCAGTGATATTTTATATTTTGTTTTAGAAAATAAATCTGTTTTTTCTATGTATAGGAGAACTCTTGAGCCCCAAGCTAAAGTATGCTATGGTAAAGTGACATCAGCTGAGGTACTGGCCTGGCTGTTTATGTGGGTTTATTATTTCTCATGAAATAATACTGCTATCCATATTTGTTAAGGGGATGCTGCTGTTGACTTATTTTCTACAATCAAAACAGAAAGAGGAGTAGGAGGGAAAAGTCTACACTCTGGGTTTTGCTCTGCAGTGTTCTTTATCTCTGATACAGCATCTACACTATGAAATTCACCCTGAATGAATGGACACTCAGATGCCTTCACTTCCAGCAGAGAGGACACAACTTCAGGCTGAATTAGGCCATTTGGAGAGGTTTACCAAAATCTCCATGGGTTACAGACACAAGACTTTTCTCTCACACTGGTCTGGACTGAGCACTTGGTGAGTAAGTAAAATTTTACTTTTTTCCCTTTTGAAAAGTAGAATAAGCCAAAGAAGTTGGTCACATAGTTGGACCTGGACTTCCCAGCAAAAGACTCTAAAAAGTCAGAATGTTTAGTAAACAGATCATGAAATATTTTCTAGAAAAAAAAACAAAAAAAAACCAAAAAAACCCCACCAAACAAACAAACAAACAACAAAAAACAAAAACAAAAACAAAACAAAACAAAAAAACCACCAAAAACAAACCAAAAAACAAGAGGGATTTAATAATGCTGGGGTGAAGTTTTCTGTTAATGACTTAATTTTCTTCCTCCTGTTTAGGCAGTAACATGTGAACTCTGACCACATCACCGGTGTGAAATTGCTGATTAACCTTTTGACTCTGACAATTGGGACTTCTCTCAACACCAACTGGTAATGCAGAAGACCATTAGTAGTTAATATTGGGACATCCCAGCTCCAGATGTCAAAAGGTTAATGAAAATTCAAGTATCTTGCTTTTGCTGGGGAACTTGGAAACCTTCCCCCCAAAACAGTTCATTTTTTCTGATAAATAAGCCAGACTGTTTGAGCTGAGAAAGACGGGTGTTTTGCTAATGTGTACAGCTGTTAATTGAAAAAGATTTGGGTATGCTTGTTCTTCTGGATGTAGATAAAAGAGAGATTTGTTGGCGAACTTAGTCTTGAACACCCCTTTGTTCAAATACACTACATAATAATAACGCTTTGTTCTTTCTGTAACAGCCATGGAGGGATTTTGAGTGGAATACTCATTTTCTTTAAGCCATATCTGCCAGTAATCATTCCTGGCTTAAGACCAGCTGCCGTTTATGTGTTTTATGAAAATATAACAGTTTTACACTCAAAACTATTTTCTTTTTAGGTAAAAGCTTCAGCACAAGCTGGTTCCCCATATCTACCATAAATGCTATTTATCACAGATTTTGGTCTTTAAAACAGAAAGATAATGTTAAAACATTTTGATTCCCCTTTCCTTGCTGCTATCATTCACAACCCATCTTTTCTAATTATGGTATTAGGACATTTACATAACCGGGAAAAGGGTCCTTTAACTACATTTCTATTATGTTTGGCACTTCTGTGAAAGGATATTATATTCATGTGCATTAGAGATTGCTTATAAAAGATCAAGACAATAATAGCAGATCAGACGATAAAGGTTCCCTTTTCTCCTCCCAGACAGGCTGTCTCTGACAGAAGAATACAGTTCATCAAAAGTGTCTGCAGGTTGTCAAACTCAGTGAGATTTGGGGACACTCGGAGGCTGTCATGGCCAACAAGAAGATTTTCTGTAGGGTTCTGCCATCATTCACCCTCAGGAAATAATCACTCACTACATTCTGCATGCTCTCATGATAGAGGTCTATTTGAGAGAAAAGAGCCATTTTATCAAAGGACAATATATCCCTTCTCTTGGTCCATGTAGCTTCCATTATCAGACCATAATAAATCATATTTATGTTCTCAGTTAATAAGACTGATTACAATGCAGGTTACAGGCATGGGAAAAGAAAATCAGGTGAAAAGATGTTTTAATGAAAATATGATAAGCAAACAGCTTCTTGTGAGCATTTCAGGCTGTTATTTGTAATGATCACAGGCAATTTTTGATACATCTTCTTTAGCAATGGTTTAAGCTGCATAAATTGGCTTGCCACTTTATACGCTGAAATAGGAAGAATCCCAGTGTCCTTCTTATGTTGTCTAGAATCATTATATACATTATAAGCATAAAATGAGTTTAATGTATGTGCTTTGAAAAGAAGGGGAAAACAGAAAATCAGGGAAGACTGATTTTAATGCTGCTCAGAATGATTTTGAAATTTTCTACTCATCTTTGTTACTAACGGTGCATTTTCCATGAAATTTAGGAATGACATGTACTGCTTTCATCTCCTTAAAATTAATATACTGTGCTCTCTGTTTTTCTCAATTTCTTCAAAGTTCTTCTTAGAGCACTGTGCAAAGAGACAGGGAGAAATTCTCCACTCGAAGTGTAAGCATATCTGCTGTTAATGCTGAGGGGAGTTAAGTGTCTGCTTCTACAGGAGAATACACCCCTGAAGTGTTCCTGAAGGGCATCCTTTTAAAATGGTACAAGAATGTTTAATTTTGGCACATATGATGCATTCAAGGGCCAACTTCCACAGATTTTTTTAAAGTGATTAAGGCAATTTTTTATTAGGGTAAATATTATGATATGATTTCAGCATATAAGTGCATAGAGGGAAGTGGCTGGTGGACTGTCTTGCTGTCATCTTGCGAAAAGTCTTATTTTGCTATTATGTTCAGCATCATCCTTTCAAGACGAAGTTAGAAATTTAAGGAATAATTTCCTCCTGCCAACAGATAATTTTGACTGGGTCTCTGAAATTCTACAGCACTTGCAAAACAATGGTGACAAAGACTCCTTGGTGTTGTGTCTGCAGGACCTATTCTGCTCTCTGGTATCTCCCTAAAATAGTTCTTAAACAAATTTTAAAGCTTTGTATTTGTCCTCGCCCTGGAGAATGGCCATAAAATTACCTTAACCCTTTTAGGACACTTCAAAAGAGCAGTACCCATATAAGAAACAGCAGACTGCTCTTCAAAGGCAATATCCTGATATGACAACAGATGTAGATAATGTACTTCATGATGGAACTGCTTGATACAGAGAAAAACATGTTGTAACTGCCTTCACCATGAAAGAGGTTTAAAAACGCTGCCTGCCAACTCCACAAAAACCAGAGCTGCTATTTCGGTTAAAGGCCAGTGGATTGTATTTTTCACGTCAGTTTTCACTAACCTCAAACATCACTGTTATGACAGACTGTCATCCAACCAAACCAGCATTCTGTTGCCATTCAAGCAAGCAGGAAAAAAGCAAACACGAAGGAAACTTAAAAGTCCAAGTAGTAATTGGGGGGTGCATGTGAGTGAACTACTTTTGTGTAACAATACTGATTACTGAAAATGAAACACTTAAAAGAAAATAAACAAAAAGCAGTGCTTTCTGAGCCAGTGGTGTTTTCTTGGCTGGCAATTTCTCTTTGTTCTATTTCATGACACTAGGCTCAATGGTTGAAGGGGTGTTGGGGCCAGATGTCAATCACAAAGTCTGACGTAAACAAAAATAGCTAAAAAGGCATGCCAGCATCTTCCTTTTGTTTTGCCATTAGCTCCATTTTTCTTTTCATAGGCTGACAAAAAATTACTGCCTCCAAGTGAATTCAGTAATGTCACTATATATCTAATATCTAGGAGACCTTTTGTTTTAGCTTTACTGGGCTTAACCACAAAAGACACTTGACATTGACAAAGAATCTGTCAAACATACAATGATCAGTGCAATGAAACCTCTCATGACAGAAGGGCACTATTCTGCCTCCCCCTTGCCTCCAGCAGCAGCCTGTCTGAGCAAAATATGCTGGAGCACATGTAGCAGCTGAACCATTACAGAGCAGGCCAGAAGCTGAGATGTGTCTTGTTTAAATTGTCATAGCATATTAGTATAATTAAAACTGCCAAAAGAGTAGAAAAGATAGATGGAAATGTTACATTACTTGTTTCTAGAGATTAACCCCCAGCCAGAACTGAAATAGAGAGACATGTTTTGGATTTCTTAGAGCTCTGATATGGAATAAAACAAGCCCAAGAGTACATCTCTCAAAGTGCGAGACATGAAGTCATAGTTCCTATATTTACACCAAAAAAAGCAGAAACAGCGTTTCAGACAGACACTTTGTTTCCTCTGTAATTACAGCTCCCGTTGTGGCTGTGCTCTGCAGAGCAGTTGTATCATCTCTCAGCTAATTCCTTTCCACTCCCCTCTGCCTTTGTGCCTGCAAGGTCTTGACACCTCTTGGGCTTGCTGATGAGCCGATGTCACCGCTCTTCGCCCTGTCCCCATCTGTGGCCTTGGCTGGTGCTGCAGGTACCCAGCCTCACAGCAGAACACGGTGAGCATGGTCCAGGTTCTGGGCCTCAGCAATGCCCAGCAGCAATGGTCAGGAACTCATCCTGCACAGGTTTCATCCTTTGGGCATGCTCCTCCCTCGGGAAGAGAAACAAATGTCTACTGTAGGCAGGCACAGATAGACCAGCCCATAGACTGCGCTTGAATCCAGTTCCCTTGTGCACAGGAGAGCCAGAAAGGGAAGATTTAGACTGCTTTGCCTAAGATGTTTCTGCTTCTCATTGCAAGGGAAGATGTTTGAACAATGGCTTCAATTTAAAATCTGACCTTTCAAATGCCAAGCTTTATGCTTGTCTTTGTGTTGAATGTATAGATAAAACATATGGCTTTCTAAAATTGACCCTGACAATAATGTTCTCTTCATCAATGAGATGTTTTCCTTCCCATGCATCGTTACCTCTCATAACTGTTCAGGACAAACCAGTTATTATCCCAATTTATAATTAAGCCCTGAGTTATATCTGGTGGTGAGAAAATGATTTAAAACCTGTGTGTTCATTCAGTTGTAGATGTTGGAACTCAATTTATCCAGAAGCTGGGGACGACCTGAACTGGCTCCAGCCATTCTGAAAGAGAGAAGAAGCAGCACAACTGCCCTCTAACAAAAATGGTACATTCAAGGGGAAGCTTGAGGATTCAGGTAGGACTCATGCTCATTTCTTCTAGTAATTAATGAACTTCACAGCTTTGCCTCATTTGCTGACTTGCTTTAAGTAGAAGAATGTTAAATGTGAGCCTTTAATTTTAGGTTCCTCCATATTTCCTGTATTTCCAAAATTTAAATCTTAGTTAATGACTTCTCCATGTAGCGCCCGTAGATGTGCAAAACTAGTAAAAAATATGTTATCTGCATTTAGTGTTGGCTTTTGGAACCCTCACCACCAAGTCACCTCTCTACTGCACCTCACCTCACATGCATTTCTGTGTAGTGCCAGGAGAAGAATGGAAAATAGCCATGAAGTAAAAGCAGATTCTGCTCCCATTAAAGGCAATGAAAACTGTGCTTTTACTTCTAGTTACTCATAATAGTGGAGAAAAATGAAGTGGAAACAAGAACAACAAAACACCTCTGCCAGCTATCTACAAGCTAACCAAGGCTTCCACTAATGAGGTGCTCTGGCATTTTAAGAAAGACAGGTTCTCCAGAAATGGAAAAAATATGCTGAGTTTTTCCTTCAGTTCTGAAAGGCTAGTGAAAGAATAACAAATTGTATATCAAAAAAGGGATGACAGTCAAACTTTTAATGCTGTCTGTGCTATTAAATACCTAAAGATGCCCATACATTTTCTTGTAAATTAAATGCTTTTACATACATACTTGGCAGCTTATTATATTGATACTTACATACCCCACCTAATTATTGACTGTATTTACAGGGTCCTTTAAATGACCATAAAATTTTTGAGAAAGTTAGTAATATCAAATTACAATAATGGAGTAATTTTCAGGTCAAATTTTCTAGACGAGTCTATACCATGGACAATCACACAGTCTATTAAACAGAACAGTACAGTTTGTGGAAAAGATAATACTCCAGATCATGAGATAGCACCAGATTTCACATTATGATTTCCAGATGTCTTTGTGAGCTTAATGCATACAGCATCGGTTTAAGTCTAATCTGCATGGCAGAAATGCAAGTTGTTCCAATTTTCTCCTCTCTGGGGCTGTATGGAGAAACAGGAGGGCATTGTTCTGCTTCTTTGGAGAGAGCAGTTTACCCGAAGGACAGGGAAGAGTCACACCTAGCAGTGTCCACGTCCTCATCTGGCTGCAAAAAGCTGGCAAATCTGCCCCTGACCTTTATCCTCCCACCTCAGCCGCCCTTTTTCTGCATGCTTGTCTCCACACGGTGTCTCAGTCACCCCAAGACATTGGACAGAACTGGCCTCCCTGTCCTGTCCCCTGCCCTAACCATGGAAGCATCAACATCCTCTTTTGTTTAGAATGCTGAAAAGATCTGAGTTACAGCAGCCTGTCACAGCTGTCAGGCTTCTGTGACAGCCTGGTTGTATTATTCTAAGCAGTGTGTGTAGATTCATTTGAAGGGAGAGAGAGGGTGGAATTTGCCAAACTGCACATCATATGTACTCACTAGAAGCTCCTGCAGTGAGTGTCTGTGCAAACAGAAAGCAGCTTCCCAGCTGTTTCCAGGGTGCAGCTTTGGAAACAAAGTTCTCCAAGATCCACTGTAAAGCAGCATACTGCATCAGTTTCCCGGACCAGGGACGAGGTGAAGTCACAGCACATCAGTGGCAGCCTGGGGGATTTACAGCACTTTGCAAAGGGCAGCCCAGTATCCTCCTGTTCCCAGAGGGGCACAGATGTCCAGAAGTTTATGGTGGGCCACACATAACTATAAACATGAAATAGCATTTCCTCTGCTACATTCCTGCTGGAGAGTATTTTTCTGGTACAGGTAGGTGGGCTAGATAACAGCACAAGGATCTGACAGGACGTTTGCTTTTCAATTCTAGCACTGTTGGGCTGGGAAGTGAAAAAGAGCTCTGCAAACAGAACAGGTGTCTGACATGACAGTGCAATGGGAAAAAAAGGCTCAAGGCTACTTTTTCTCTACAAAAATCTCTACCAAAAAGTACCAGTTTGGGGCTTTATGAATTTCTCTCTGGAATCAAATATTCAGTGTGAATTTACAGTGTGTAAGGAAGGAGTATTTTAGCTCCTTCAATCCTGTGTACAATACCTCCCAGGGTTTCAGTGAGGATTTTAGCATCTCTTGCAGTCTTCAAATGTTATGCTGTGCAAGGATGTGCTTATACATAATTTTGTAATTGAAATGGCATGTTTACTGTTCTATTTCATGCTTGATTGTGTTTTTTAAACACCTTTACTCATGCTGTTAGAAGTGAGATTATAATTAAAATGTCCTGTTGAACACCTTGTTCAGTTCAATGAAGGCATAATAGAAGTATAAATACTTGTTCTGTTGATTCTGTGATGTCAGCACAACAAATGCAGTAAATGTCATAAAACAAATCTCCCTTTCACCAAAGCATCTGTCAGAAGGGAAGGGAAAACAGAATCTGCGACTGGGCAAAGAGGGGCCCTCCCCTCTGGAAAAAGGAAATACCTTGAGATGTTATCTGTGATATAGATGTGTTAACTAAGGCATGGAATGATTGATTGATTGATTGATTGATTGATTTAGTCAGTTATGAGGAAAAAAGAATCAGAGGGGAATTTGTTCCTCTACTCACAGTCCCTTGGCCTAAAGACTAAGTAGCACTTTCCCCTACACTTGCCATTAGGAAATGCTGTGTCTGCCTGTGAAGTGTTAAGGAGGAACTTATAGTTCTTAATTCTATATATAGCAACTATATTTCTTATATTTCTTAATATTCCTGTTTCCTTAAAATATATACAGATATGCAGACTTCAAGTCTTGATGGTGGAGTGGAACTACAACATAATGTCCAAACATTTCTAAGTCACTGTCCAGTGGCTTCAGAACTTTTGCATAGCAATAATGGTTTCATTTTCTTCATGTTTTCTCTTGCAGTCTGAGTTACCACCAAGGATGTGATATCTAACCTTTCTGGCAGGCACATGTTCAGTCTTAAGGAGCTTTAAGTTACTTCACAGCTTGAAATTCCATGTAAGAAGTGATGTTCCAACATCTAGTCTAATTGATGCTTTCTTGGGCAATTTACTTGGTTACCTTGGCTCAGTTTCCTCCTTTGAAAAATGGGGAGAACAATGTCTGTGTTCCTTATATATAGGACAGTCCAGTCCAGACCAGAAAATGATTCAGCAGCAGCAGGGATAAGGCTACAGGACATAGAACATGCAGGACAAAATGGACAAGAATGTTGTCAAGCAGGATTGCAACAAAACTTGGTGTATTTGAATGCCTCATTATATGTACAGGTGCAGCTCTACACACCCACACATGCTTCATTTATTTGAGTATGTGATCATATAAATGCCTGCAGGTGTGATACAGAAGAGATACCCATGCTGAGGCATGAATATGGAGTTCCACATCTGTATTGGCTGCCTGGCTCACACAATGAACTAGTGCAGTCAGTGAGTTCTATTTCCACCTCCTGTATGCACTTCAGAATTAAAAGCAAAGGCAAGTCCATCCTGGTAACTACATTTAATAGGATGTTGTGGTGTAGAACTAAAATATGTGTATGGGTCAGTCATCATTACCTCACTGTGTTGCACATTATTTACAAAATTAGGACAAAACTAATTTCAGATAAAAATGGCCACATCAATTAAATGTATGGAAATAAATCCATGGCGTTGGAATTTAATATGTCTTTTGGGACACCTAAAACTTCAGCTGGGCTTCGGTGCAGTGGCTGGTTTCTCACTTCTGGCACACACAGAGATGGCTCCTTGTCTATAATACTGTCAGATAGTCCATAACACATGGGGTGAAAATCGTGCCTGCTGCAAAACCATGCTTCTGAATCCACTGACTTGCTTACATGTAAAAAAGTATCAGCCATGGCATTACACTTATGCAGCTGGTTTCATTAAACAATAGCATGATGCTAACTACTTGGCGACAAACACCCTCCTTTCAGTGTCAAAAATGTAAAACAGCTAAGGGATATAAACTGGAGGCAACCTTTTGCATGTAATTGCTGCCTGCAGAGACTTAAGGTTGTCAAAGTTTCCTACCTTTTATAAGGCCTTTAGTGATCACTTTTGTTTCCCAAAGATAAAAATAAACCTACCAAAGTTCCTTTGAACATTTCAGCAGCTTTTCATAGTGTTAGCTGTGATAGTAATGGTGTCACCTTCCTAATAAGGATGTATACAAACTGTGTTGTAGGAGTCCCTGCTGCTTTCTTTGTGGAAATTATCTCAGATGCTTTGGGATTATTCGGGAGTAACTTCTTTTTGCACCATGATTTCACAGAGATCTTCTCTGTAATCTTCTCTTCAGCATATTCCTTTGAAGATCTAGGGAGAAAATGTGGTGCTTGAGCATTCAGTGAAATCTGGTTTGCATCTCCATCTAGCTAAAGTCTGCGCTGTCCTGTGACAGAAAATGTGAAGGGACCATAGTGCTCAAAATTCAGCAGAAACTTTACATAGTGTTGTCTAGGCAAAAGGAATAATGAGAATATGGTCAATTGAGATTTCATAGGAAGCAAAGGAGAAAAGAAAGCCCAAATTTTTTTCAGGACTGAATGTCATTGCCTTGCCCAGAGGGACCCCTATGGCTGCCATCCACAGCTCACAATGGCAAATGTACTCTGTGCAGTGACACAGGCAAAGGGAACACAAGTGGCTGGCGCAGTGGTAGAAATAACACCGTGCTAATGAAGAGTTTTGTGCAGGCACATTTAACTCCCTCAGAATTAGCCTGGGTATCTCTCCATGACACAATTGTTTTAGACTCACAGCATGTTGCAATTTTTAGGCTCTGGCAGGCTCCTGTGTAGGAACTGTGTCCAAGAGCCTTTATTTCATCTGCTCCAATTGGGAAGAGCATGGCAAGTTCTTTTGGTTGAGACTTTGCTATAACGATCTGAGCTTTAGTCACTGTGAGACTGGCCCTCTGTAAAGCATTCACTCAGTGTTACAACCAGAGACAACTGAGCTCCAAAAGTGAGTGCAGGCTGTGTCTACTTATTAAGTAAAGGAGCATGTGGAGAGCCCATTACTCAGTAATTGGTGCTTGCTGCCAGTTAGCATTCACCAGGACTTCCAGGATTTGTATAGACCTTACAGTCCAGAATGGCCTGGGATTGTTCTTGCCTTATTTGCTTCCACTATAATCAGCTGGTGGCTCTCTGCTTTGCAGAGCTACCAAAACCAGCCTGATCAGACTGAAAGGCACCTGGAAGTACAGGATGTCCCCAAGGAATTCATCGAGAGGGACATGCAGGTCTGAGAGATTTTGTGACTAAGGTTGTGTTCCACTTTTGTGAGCTTGCAAGTTTCTTCCCCTGCCATGGAAGAAGAAAATGATGACTGGGACTTGTGGGAGGTGATACAAATGCCTGCTTGATTGTGTAAAACATTAAATAGGTCTTTAAAGATGAGGCCCTCAAGTGTCATGTGGCTCTTTAGGTGAGACAAACTGCACTTTGGTATGGGGAGACTTGAGACACAGTGTGGTAAGTCTTTACAGAAAAGCCTACATAGACATTTGACAAAAACACAGCTCTGTGGGGTACATGGCACTTGCAGCTTTGTCGTGGGGAAACCTTTTGTTGTCCTAAGTGCTGCTGTTGCTCCAAGGAGGTGGCTTGGTTAGGTTTTGGATAGGTGTCCACAGCCCCTGGCAGGGCTGGCGGGCTCAAGCAGCCTACTCTGCTGCCCAGGAGCAGGTGGGCTCAGGGAATGCAGGGGGAAGAAAGGGGCTCATTCATATGCCTATTCCCTACAATATTGCAGTTATTTATTTATTTATTTATTTACAGCACAGGCAGCGTTAGCCCCAGAGGCTGACAAGGCGGTTGAATGTATGCACACAAGCTGCTCTCCCCAAGCCGGCGGGCTCTGCCAACACCTGAGAAGTGAAAACCTGTCTGCGCCGCAGGTGAGAAAGCAAATAACGCAGGGTGCCGCCGCGGGAGTACCGCCCGCCAGCGGGACTGCCGCAGCCACGTCCGCTGCCCCCCGCAAGGGCGGCCCAAGGCCCGGGGCCGGGGCAGAGCCCCCGGGGCCGGGGCAGAGCCCCCGGGGCCGGGCAGGGCCCATCGCGGCCCCGCCGCCGCCCGCCCCGCCATCGGCGGCCCCGCGCGCCGTTCGCCGCAGCGCCCGCCAGGTGGCGCCCTTGCTCGCCGAGTGGCATGAGGGCGGGCGGGCCCGAGAAACGCACGGCGCCCACCCCCCTGCCCGCCCTGCTATTTCGGCAGCATTATAACCGAAGTGTTTTCAACTTATTATTATGCATGAGTAAAAATTCCATGAATGTGTAACATTTTCGCCTGTATTTCCCTCTTTTATAACATCATTTAAATTCCTCATTAATAATTTAGCAACGTTCTGGATTTTAATCACTTTTCTCATCCCCGCGGTCTCTACCCGAGGCAGCGCTCTCCTCCCCACCTGAAGGTGACATGGAGGCCGGGCTGGAGCCAGGGGCACCCGCCCCAGCGCCCTGTCCGGCTGCAGGGTGTTTCCTTCATCAATTGAAAATCCAAAGTTTACCAAACCTAAGGCTTGAGTAGGTTACCATGAGTGAAAAAATAGATATATTTTTTTCATCTGAGTTTAATTATGGTGGTATTTGTTTGATAGCTTGTTACTGTAAATAAAAGAGATAAAAAGAGCCCTTCACTCGAGCAGCTTCAGAGTTGTGAAATATGTACCTAATTAAAACTATTGGTGTAAGAGGCTAATAAAGCACATGTGCCTACTAGATGTCTTATTCTAATGAATCTCGGCTAACATACTCTGAGCGATGTATTTTGGTGTTGGTAGTAAGAGCTGAATAATTACGGAATTTATCATGAGGTGCTCATGAAGAACCACAGGGGTCTGGGAGGGTAAGGGGAGGGAAGGAGCCGCAGCCCCACGGTCGGGTGCAGCAGGAGCGGAGCCCAGGCTCCCCCCAAGCACAGGGGCTGCCTGCGGCCCCCAGGGTGGCCGCGGATCCCCGGGCCAGGCCCCGCGGCCTGCAGCTGTGCGGGCGGGGCGGCCCGAGGGGCGGCATGAGGCGGCTGGGCCGGGCTGGGTGCGGGGGCGAGAGTGCTGCCCCTGGGCGCTCCTCCCCAGCCAGCTCCTCACCCCCTGCTTTCCCCCTTGTTTTCGCCTGGCACGGGTGAGGAGCGGGCCACAGCATGCGCTCCTCAGACTCCCAAACCCAGTGCAGATGGGTTGTCTAAAGCATTTCAGATGGAGTTTTGGTCTTGTGCCAGCAGCTAATCAAAGTCTTAATTCTGGAGAATAAAAAGGCCGGGCTTTCCAAGCTTCCTCCAGCTGGTTTGTGCCGGGGATGTGGACTGCCGGGGCTGCTGAAAACCCTTTTGCTGTGGGTGCTCGCAGCGCCACGGGCGGGGCCCCCGGTGGGGCTGGATGCAGGGCTGGCACAGCTCTCACTCGCCCTGTGCAGCCAGGCTTGGACTTAGCTGCTCCGGCTGGAGGGGTCAGCTTTGACAGGCCTGCGGACAGGCACCCTCCCATCCATCCCAGTCTGACCTGTAGTGAAGTCAGGCACGTGAAAACGTGTGTGTCGGGAACCCCTGCCTGAGATACGAGCTTTGCCCTTTGGAGCAATACAGGCTTGTCAGGAGAAAGGGTATGTACCGAGAGAAGCTGGGCAGTAATAAAGGGGCTGGTTAAGCAGAAAAAGAGCCCTCAGACTAGCACATATTTTTATTGCTTTTTTTGCAACAGAGCAGTGAAAACATCCCAAGGCGAAATGTCTATTGTAGGCTTTCGTGTAGTCCCCAATAACAAGTATTTAAACGCTTGCACGTGTGTGTGTGTGTCCTGCCGGCGTCCCTCGTGCAGCGGCACTGCGGGCGGCCGCAGGGGCTGCTGCGCTGGGCTCTCCCATCGTAACCTGGCGCCCAGAAAATCTGCGGGGCCCCAGCCACGCCGTGCCTCATCCCACGTGAGGCTGCCGGGCTTTGTGTACAGCCGAGCCATCTGGGCTTTGCTGTCTGTCCCAGAGTCAGATCTGATGAGTTCAAATGACTCTCTGCAAGTGTGTGGTAGCTGCAGCTGCTGAAAGCGCTCCGGCAGTTTCTGATCTGCACATGAATTTGGAGGTTTTTTTACAAGTGCTGCATCGGCAGTTTTTCTGCAGAATGAAATTTTCACTATTGCTGGTATCAGCTGGAGAGACGGGTGGAACTTGTTATCTTCCTTGCAAAAATCTACCTTTTCACAGGGAAGAGATCGTTTTTTGTGGTTGTACAATCTGTTAATGGTGTAGATTGAGAATAAGATAGGGAAGAACTAGTCTGTTTCTGTCTTTGTCCCTGACTTACTGTTTGACCTTAGTAAAGTCTCTTGGTCATCCTGGTTTCTCTAGCTGTTTAAAAAAAAAAAAAAAAACTGCTCAAAATTATTTTATAGCTATATCAAAAGAGACAGTCATCAATATCTAGAAGTGGCTGTAAAATTAATTTCAGGTGAAAGTGTCATACAAACAGTGTCTGTTCTGCTTTCTCAGAGACCTGTAAAAATCTGGCTTTTCCTGCTGAGAGAATTTTTTCCATGTTGCTCAATCAAAGATCATTTTAATATATTTTTCTGCCTTTCAGATACACCTCAAATATTTGTGTCTCTACAATTTTCATGGTCTCATATCTTGTCTCTGTATAAAATGTATGTTGTCAGCTAAGGGGAATGCTTTTTCTTTCAGTTTCTTTGTAATTACCAAACATATTTTTAACCTGTTAAAATATTTCTTCGTTGTCGGCATGATGTGGTATGGTATTGAAACCTCATTACTTTGCAACAAACCTTCCTGTCCATTGTGTTTACCTTCTGGTAACATTTGAAATAAGAAACCACCAACAGAATGAGGGGATACTTGCACTGTTGGGTCCAGTGTGACTTTGCATATGAAAATATGCAAAATTAAATTACACTCTCATGTAGCTAAGAGAGAAATATAATCAAATTGTTTCTGCTGGCTTTTCTTCAAGGCAGAAAACCTGTGTGTGTTTTCTAGACAAGCGTTATTTGTACTATGGTCTGGGACCTGGCAGCAGGGATTCCTGTGCCCTGTGCAAAGTTATTTTGGTTTCAGCACGACTCCACCAAGAAACCCCAGCATAGAGGATTATCCCCTTTTAGAGGGCAGTGAGCTTGGGTTCCCAGCAAGGCCTAGATTTGAGGCACTCTGAACTAAAGTTATGGATACAACCAGAGCAAGAAGAGCCAAACTCAGTTACTCTAACAAAGACAGAGGCTGCAAGTAAACTTTCCACCAAAAGTAGGTTTCCTAGATGTTGGTAGCAGATGGCCCTCCCATGCCATCCCACAGGCTGGGGATGTCCTGACATTCCACTTCCATGTAACTTGTTCTCACATCATAGAACTTCTGATTTTTTCTTTTTAGTAAGTATGATTTGATAAGCTAAGATAAGCATGTTTTTAAATTAATTTCAGGCATAAATTACTAATTCTGTTCACATTCTCAGAATGGTTTTATGTATATGTGTATATATATATATATATATATATATATATATATATATATATATAATGGTTATATAGATATATGTTATGGTTAATATAGTTTTTTCTTTTCACACCTAAGCGAAAATCTGACATTGATTTCATTCTTCTTGTGGTAGAGGGAGGAGTGTAACCATAACCAGAGGTGACCAGTACAAGCCCTATCTGAACATGCCTTGCAATCTCTGCTTTTGTACGATGAATTGATGTTCCAGTAGCATTTTGGTTTTCTATGCTGTACCCATATCCATTGCCTTTATTTTGCTTTTTCTCGGCTTTACGTTGACTTTCTCTGTGAAGCCAAAGACACCTGACATTGGTAGTCATGATTTTAACATTACATTTTTAAGATTACATGTTTTTAAGATGCTCAAGAACATCTCCTCAGAGAAGTCTATTTTCACTATTTTGCACATCTGAAAGAACAGCTTGGGACTGAATGAGTTGTTGCCTGGACAAGTGTTTGAAGAGAATTGGTTTAGACTGGTATTGCAAAAGGGAGCTGTTTGTGAATGGACTCAGATGCACGGAGGTCTGAGAGTGATAAATGCAGGGCTTCATCCCTCTGGGTCAGTGGTCTGTGGGACAGGACAGAGAGGAGACAGGAGTTGAGGAGACACTGCTGTCTTGAAGTCTGTTTTTCAGGTCACAGTCTTGTCAGGTCAACAAAAGTCACACAACATGAATGGTGCCAAAGCAGAATTGGTGGCTGTGCATTAATATTTATCCTCTGTTATATATTATAAATTTCATTTTGCATTCTGACAGAGCTGTCATTACACACCTTTTTTGGAGATTTACTGGGAAAAAACCCCAAATGTGCTTTGTTTTGTAGTATCCTAGGCAATGAGCCAAAATGTAGGTCTGAGGGAACCTTTGTGTCACCCTCTTCTTGGAATTTTCTTCCAGATCTTCTGTGTTGTACTGGATCCAGCCCTTTCCAGCTGAGCTGTGGTGACCCTAGACATTGTCCTGAGATAATGTTTTGGGACTGCTACTTGCAACAGCTCTTGAATATCTTCAACTGATCATCAGTTGGAGGTTATGGATGGTGCTTGACCCCTGACTTGTGTCTCATATCCTTGTTTTAGACCTTGGTGCTGACTGGTGGCCCAGACTGCCTTTCCCCGTTCCCTTGAGCTTATAGATAGTTCTTTGGCATGTGTCCAAACCTAATGCAGTATAGAGGGAAAGGTCTTCAGGTTCCCAGAGTACACACATGTGGTCAAAGCCCCAGCTCATTAAATTAGTATGTGCAGTGGAGACGAGCTACTGATTTATGTTTTCATCTACGCAAGGTAAATTGGATTGGAACTTCACACTGTTTAAAAAGGAGAGCTGAGATTCTTGCTTACCTTTGAGTTCTAAATTAGCAGGCACATGGCTAAGCTTCAT